GTGGTGATTTAAAGAAGTAAAAATAGGAAGCCACTCATCAGGGAGGCTTTTTTTTTTTGTAAAGCAATGAAATTGTTTATGTGTTAAACATTACACTGCACTCTACGGTATTTGCTGATTGGCACAACCACTGCTGTTTAAATTGATTCCGTAATCATGACTATAATGACCGGGATTAGCCCAGTTCAATGAGTGCATGCTTTCCCCAGGGCTCACAAAAGCCTTCTCTAGGGATCGAGGCTTTCCTGGTAATGAGAAGTTAACTAACAAGGCTGCCGTATTCCACTTTAGCAAACAGCAGTCCTCAGTTTGAAATGAAGGAAATCAAGAAAAAAGATGAAGGGTCTCTCGCCAGACAGAGGAAAATCACCCTAAACTGGTCAGCAGAATCCTGAGAACAACAGTAGGCTTCCGGAATGATGAAGGAAATGGGTGTTGCTGTTTGTTGAATTAGGTGATTGAGTGTTCAAAGGATTGTAGAAAAATTCATCAGATATTCTTAAGTTAAAGAACTCTTATTTGCCTCTCAGCAGCCTGTTACTTAAAATTGAAACAAATTGAAACACTTGTATTCCTGAATCAATATATGTTCATTGTAATCCCAAACAATCCGTCCAGAAAAATACCAAGTAAAAAGTGAAAGCCTCCTCCCCCATTTTACTTCCTCCCTAAAGGAACCCACACTCTGTGTGTCCATCCAAACTTTAAGAATACATCAGTTATGGAAGGAAAACTTCCAAACTCATTTTATGAGGCCAGCATTACCTTGATCCCAAAAACCATACAAAGGCCCCATCAAAAAAGAGAATTATAGACCAATATTGTTGACGAACACAGATATGAAAATTCTCACCAAAATACTAGCCAATAGGATTCAACAGTACATTAAAAGGATTATTTACCACGACCAAACGGGATTTATTCCAGGGCTGCAAGGTTGGTTCAACATCTGCAAATCAATCAATGTGATACAATACATTAATAAAAGAAAGGATAAGAACCATATGATACTCTCAATAGATGCTGAAAAAGCATTTGACAAAGTACATCATCCTTTCTTGATCAAAACTCTTCAAAGTGTAGGGATAGAGGGTACATACCTCAATATCATCAAAGCCATCTATGAAAAACCCACAGCGAATATCATTCTCAATGGAGAAAAACTGAGCTTTTCCGCTAAGGTCAGGAATACAGCAGGGATGTCCATTATCACCACTGCTATTCAACATAGTACTAGAAGTCCTAGCCTCAGTCATCAGACAACAAAAAGAAATTAAAGGCATCCAAATTGGCAAAGAAGAAATCAAACTATCACTCTTCGCAGATAATATGATACTTCACATGGAAAACGCAAAAGACTCCACTCCAAATCTGCTAGAACTTGTACAGGAATTCAGTAAAGTGTCAGGATATAAAATGAGTGCACAGAAATCAGTTGCATTTCTATACACCAACAGCAAGGCAGAAGAAAGAGAAATTAAGGAGTCAATCCCTTTTACAATCGCACCCAAACCCATAAGATACCTAGGAATAAACCTAACCAAAGAGGCAAAGAATCTGTACTCAGAAAACTATAAAGTACTCATGAAAGAAACTGAGGAAGACACAAAGAAATGGAAAAATGTTCCATGCTCATGGATTGGAAGAACAAATATTGTGAAAATGTCTATGCTACCTAAAGCAATCTACATGTTTAATGCAATCCCTATCAAAATCCCATCCATTTTTTTCAAAGAAATGGAACAAATAATCCTAAAATTTATATGGAACCAGAAAAGACCTCGAATAGCAAGAGGAATGTTGAAAAAGAAAGCCAAAGTTGGTGACATCACAATTGCAGACTTCAAGCTCTATTACAAAGCTGTCATCATCAAGACAGTATGGTACTGGCACAAAAACAGACACATAGATCAATGGAACAGAATAGAGAGCCCAGAAATAGACCCTCAACTCTATGGTCAACTAATCTTCGACAAAGCAGGAAAGAATGTCCAGTCTCTTCAACAAATGGTGAGGCAGTATGGGATGGGGGGGCCATGGGAGACTCTTGGTCTCGCAGGGCAGGCTGGGGGTTGCGAGGGGGGGTGTGGAGGGTGGGGCTGTGGATGTTGTGGGGGGGTGTGTTGTGGTGAGTGCTGTAGGGTGTGTGGGCCTGACGATTCGCAGACCTGTGTCCCTGGGGCTGGTAGTACATTGTATGTTGGTGGAAAGTAAAAAATCTTTTTTAAAAAGTTACGCTATAGGGGGGCCTGGGGGGCTTAGTCATTTAGTGTCTGCTTTTGGTTCAGGTCATGATCCCAGGGTCCTGGGTTGGAGCCGTGCATCGGGCTCCCTGCTCAGCGAGAATCCTGTTTCTCCCTCTCCCATTCCTGCTGCTTGTGCTCCTACTCTTGCTGTCTCTCTCTCTCTTTGTCAAATAAAATCTTTTAAAAAAATAAAAGAATACATCAGTTATGCAGAAAGAATTTGACTGTAAGAAAACATAGTCAATTTGCTTGATTATAATTAGTGTTAACTTTTCTTTAGTGATTCAGAAGATCCTTCACATTTATTATCATTAAGGGTATCAGTTGTCACAGTGCAGAAATGTGAGTATTTCTGTGTGCTTGGATCCAGATAAATTGAAGCTGGTAGGAAAGATGTGGATAATCCCTTTTTTGCTGCCCAAGAGGCTTTGGGCTTGCTCAATCCACAGAACAGAGATGTTGAAGGTGTCTAATCTTTTGAACATAAGATTTTCTAAAACATTGTAAAAACATTGCATTGTAATTTAAAAGACTTAGGGGATTACCTTATGTTCTATGACATTAATAGAGGGGCATTTTACTGTCTGAAATTTGCATAACATTATACTGGTATATGCTTTATATACAAAGTACTTGATATGTATAAACACACACAATATACATGTTATATATATACATATTATATACATATACTATATTATGCACACAATATATACATATATGGTCCTTTGTATGTGTGATTTTAAAAATATATATTTATAGATAAATTGTATATTTTCTTTTTTGTTAAACAAGTGTAGCTGTCATTTATAAGTTCAGCAGGAAACTACAGTCCATCTTTTTTATCTTGGAAAAAAATCACTTGAGTAGTTTTTTTTTAAGATTTTATTTACTTATTCGATAGAGAGAGAGATCACAAGTAGGCAGAGAGGCAGGCAGAGAGGGGGTGGGGAAGCAAACGCCTCGCTGAGCAGAGAGCCTGATGCAGGGCTTGATCCCAGGACCCTGAGATCAGGACCTGAGCCAAAGGCAGAGGATTAACCCACTGAACCACCCAGGTGCCCCTTGAGTAGTTTTCTTAAGACAACCAAGGCACCCCATGCCCTGGGAGAGGAAGTAATAGGAAGGAATTTATTTTTCTTGAATCTGATAAGGTCATCTCTCCAAATGCCTCTTAATGAGTAGAGCTCTGGTGCATGGTATCAATTCACATAAAGAACCCAGGAACTTTCTAGAAGGGAAAGGGATTGCAATCACCCCAAACCCAACATTGCCCCCCACAAGTTCCCTAGTTATAAAAAGCCATGGAAGGACCTTTCTAGAGGACAACAGGATTTTTCAAAAACGAATCTAAGAAGCTTGGATCCCAGTGATCAGAGCAGGAAGCCTTAAGATCCAATGGTGGTCTGAAACATCAGGAGGTGGGGACTTGGCTTTGTGACATGATCACAATAAGCAGAAATGGACCACCGTTACACTCTACCCACCTTTCCTCCATGTCTAACTCTAGTGTATGCTTCAAAACTCAGCCCAGGGATCATCTCCTCCATAAAGTGTTTGCTGACCACTCCAGGCTGAGTTCAGTTCCTCCTCTGCATTCCCTTCTACTCATCAGTATCCTTGTTGATCTTATTCCTGAATACTCTGTGTTTCCTACTAGATTCTCAGCCCCTCAAGGGCAGCTGAAACAGTCTGCCTACATTTGAACCTCAACACCATTTCCTAGCTCTGCAGCTCGGCAAGCTGCCTAAACTGAGTTTCTTCATCTGTAAAATGGGCATAATCATTCTTGTCTTATTGGGTGTTTTGATGGTTAAATTTGTAAAACACGTAAACAATGCCTGGAGCCTAAGTGCACGTAAGTATGAGCTATGAAAGAATAAAATAAAACTTAATTCAAATTATCATCAATAGTCTCTTTATTGACAATGTCTAGCACAAAGCCCAGTATGCAGTAGGTGCTCAGTTGGTGTTAAACGGAACAGTGATTAATACATTGTCTGTGATTCTTCTAGAACCAATACAGTAGCCACCAGTTATATGCGATCATTGAGCACTTGAAATGTGTCTAGCTCAAACCGAGGTGTGCTGTAACTGTAAAATACAGTAGATGTTGAAGACTTAGTATGGAAAACAGAGTAAATTATCTCATAAATAATTTTTGTATTGCTTACATGTCAAAATAATATTTTGGACCTTTGAGGTTAAATAAAATATATTCTTAAAAATAATCTCACTGGGGCGCCTGGGTGGCTCAGTGGGTTAAAGCCTCTGCCTTCGGCTCAAGTCATGATCTCAGGGTCCTGGGATCGAGCCCTTTATCGGGCTCTCTGCTGAGCAGAGCCCGCTTCCCCCTCTCTCTCTACCTGCCTCTCTGCCTAATTGTAATCTCTGTCTGTCAAATAAATAAATAAAATATTTAAAAAAATAATCTCACCGGCTCGTTTTTACTTTTTAAAATGAAACTGCTAGGAAATTTAAAATTTCACATGTGGCCCCATCGTATTTCTATTAGACAGCACAGGTCTAGAATGTTTTCAACCTACCATTATTATAGCAAATCCTCATACAACCTCATTTACACGCAAATACTACATAACCTGTAGGAGTTCAGATCAATGACTTAGAACACTGATTCACTTGGAATCCAGAGTATATCCAATTAGTTTGTAAATGATTTTCCATGCAGAGTTAACAAGCTAATGTATAGACGTATTTTTGAAAAGGAACCAAAGCTTTGTGGGCATTTTCCAGGTTCGGTGCGATCCTGAGATTCAAGAGTTGCGTCAGTGGCAGAAGAAACTGCGTGAAGACAAGCACATTCGCCAGCGAGTCAAGATTTTCTGGGCCAAACAAGAACAGAAAGGTCAGTTGTTTGAGTCACAGTCTTTAGTTTGTTTAGGAAAAGACTGAGTCGAAAAATTGGAGGGGGAGGAGTCAAGATGGCGGAGAAGTAGCAGGCTGAGGAGAAGACTGAGTCATAGCCCAGGCTCTAAAAGGAAGCCCTCTGAGTCCTTGTCAGGTCCCTGTCTCTGCAGGGAACTCACTTTGTGTGTGGGTGGGGGGAGTGACTGCAGGTTAGGATTCTGCTCTGGAATGACAGAGGTGATGTGACATAATTTACATGGCCATTCTCCTCACTCAGGGACAAACTCAGTGTCATCCCATGTCTGCAAGTCATTTTGTTTAAGCTGTAAGTCATCAAGGGTAACCCCTCATTTTGGAAGCACAGTGTCCATCAGTGTGATGGGTGGTTATCTTTTTTAAGTTGTTGATTGTGTGTCTGAACTGAAATGATGCATTATGCTTGTTCTCTCTCTTTTTGTGAGAAACTAAACATGTGCATGCGTGCATGCACAGACAAACACAGAAATACAAAGAATAACAAGCACCCGTCTCCTGTCATATGTAGATGTCACCATTTTGTCCTATTTGCTTTCCACACTCTTTATTATAAAACTTTAACTTATTACACATTTACGATAGGAAAGTTAGAAAACCAACAGCCAAAAAAAGGGAAAAAACAGAAATCCCACCACTGTTACTATTTTGGTGTATATCCTGCTGTACTTTTTCCGGTGCAAACAGGTACAAATAGATATCTGTACATATTTTATTAAAGACTGGATTTTACATTGTTACCTTCTGTCCCATGATCTACCTTGTCACTGAACGTACTCAGAACATCATTATGGCCAATGACCAGAGAGTAACATCGTGAAGTTTAACGGTGGTGTGGTATGGATTTAGCATCATTTATTCAAGCAGCAACATGGAAGGAGATTCATGATATATTATCAAGTGGAAAAGAATCACAGAACCATCGGTTTTTATCCATATTATAAGTATATATGTGTAGGGGCACTTGGATGGCTCAGTTGTTGAGCGTCTGCCTTCAGCTCAGGTCATGATCTCAGGGTCCTGGGATCGAGCCCCACATTGGGCTCCTTGGGGGGATCCCTCAGTGGGGAGCCTGCTTCCCCCTCTCCTCCCACTCCTGCTCTCTCTCGCTGTCTCTCTCTGTCAAATAAAATCTTGAAAAAAAAAAAAGTGTATACGTGGAAACGTGGAGGTGTCTGAACAGCCTGGAAGGCTACATTAATGATGGTCACCTTTAGATTTGAACAAGGGAGGAAGAGGTGCACTGTTGGAATCTTTTAAATAAGTTCATAGTACTTTAGAATTTATGAAAAATAAACCTCCTCACCTCAGCAGGCTATAGGCCATCCATGCTTTGAACCCTCTCACCTCCCCATCCTTCCCTGTACCTGTCCCCCATCACTAGGCTGGAGCCCTTCCAGACTTTTCTGTTCTTGTCATATGCCAGCGCCCCACCACCACCGCCTTGGGGGTCTGTGCTTTCTATTTTTTTTTCTGTCAAATCACTCATCCCCAGCTGCTTCTCATCTTCTAGGCCTGGGCATTACCTCCTCAAGGGACCTTCCCCCGGGACCAGGAGCCAGTCTATGAGCAACCTCAGCATGACGGTGTCTAAACAAAGGCTTCCTCTTCTCCCCAGAAACCGTCTTCAACCCTATTTTCTCAAACCTCTCTTCCCAATCCCTTCATGGCATATGGGGGGGGGATTCCGTGTTTTTCCAGTATGTTCTAATTTCAGAAAGCCCGGTCTAGTTTAAAATTTCAATCTCAGATCCAATCTGATGCTTACCCAACCTCATCTGCCCTCCACCCATGGGGATGGGAGTGGGGGAAAGAAGTGTTAGGTCTTTCACACTTCTATCCTTGCCTCTCCCGGATCCCTTTCTCCTGTGGTGAGATGGGTGGGAAGGAGGGAGATACAGGGGCATCCCCTCTCTTCACTATCTGTTGTCGTCCTCCAGTGGCTGCTGCTGCTTCTCTGGCTAAGGCTACCACTCATGTCCTGTGGGCAGGCATCTCCATGCTGACTCTTTGACTCCTGTATCTCATAGGTTTCTTCCTGGAGGTGAAACAGTAGGCAGCAGACCACCTCTGTGGGGATCTGGTTCTGTCTCTACCTCTTCCACCACCACTTCGGATCCCACCTCTGCCAGTCTACTCCTAGTCTTTTGCTTTTGGGGTCTCCTTACCCAGTGGCCAGCCCTCTTGGTCAGAGCATTAGGAAAATAGTTCAAGTTACCTCTCACTGTCCACCTGACACACAGGAAACCAATGGTGGACACACAGACTTCTCCATGGTCTCCTTCTCTCTACCCCAGTGTGTCTACCCAGATCACATCAAACCTCCTCAGATAGGCATAGAGGAATGATCCAGATGTAAGTCTACCTTTAAAGCAGATATTCAACCAAATAATGAGACACCCCCCAATTTCTCTTGGATTTTCCCTCCCTTGCTTTAGGGCTTAGGTTTGGGGAAGCACCCATTTTAGTCTAAGAGAGGAGAGGGGCGCCTGGGTGGTTCAGTGGGTTAAGGCCTCTGCCTTCGGCTCAGGTCGTGATCTCAGGGTCCTGGGATCGAGCCCCACCTCAGGCTCTCTGCTCAGCAGGAAGCCTGCTTCCCTCTGTCTCTGCCTGCCTCTCTGCCTACTTGTGATCTCTGTCTGTCAAATAAATAAATAAAATCTTAAAAAAAAATCAGTACTTGCTAACACCATTGAGTGAAACTTTGATGAGGAATATGATATTTAGAGTCTTGAAATATCCCTCTACAAAGTAGTCATTAAACAAAAGGAAAAATGTTAACTTTGCGTTAGAGCAACCTGGCAGACCCAGTGTTCAAAATTAGTGTCACCAATATTGGAACAAGCTGACGTAATGTGCCTTCTGGTATGATGTACTAAGACGGACACTCATCACATATGCTTATCCACTACTCCTGTCAAAACGCATAACTTGAATCTAATCATGGGGAAACATTGGACAAACCCAAGTTGAAGGACACGCACCAAAATAACTGATTTGGACTCTTAAAAAATGCCGGTGTCAAGAAAGACCAAGATTAAAGGAGAACCAAGGGGACGTGACAGCTAAACACAACATAGGATCTTAGATTGGATCCTGGATGGGAAAAGAATTCTAAGAAAGACATTATTGAGACAATCAGCAAACTTTGAATAGAGGCTTTATATAAATGACTACATAGCACTATCAAATTTGCTCATTTAAAAAATATTTATTTATTTGTTTATTTGAGAGAGAGTGACAGAGAGGGCATAAGCAGGGGAACTGCACAGGGAGAGGAAGAAGCAGGCTCCCCACTGAACAGGGAGCCCAGTGTGGAGCTCAATCCCAGGACCCTGAGATCATGACCTGAGCCGAAGGTAGACGCTTAACCAACTGAGCCACCCAGGTGCCCCAAAAACAAAATCTTTAAAGAAAAAGAAAAGAAACCACCTCATTCTTAAGATACATGCTGAAGGCTTTAGGGATCAATGATGTATACACCATTGCTGTTATACATGTTGATGTACACATATCAAGTATGATATGTAACTTAACCTCAAATGATTCAGAAAAAAAGAATGTATAACACACATGTGTACATGTGCACACACAGAGAGGAACCAGTAACGTAAATAAGGCACAGGGCAGACTACTGGTGAACTTGGGGATTCTGTGGATGATTTTTGCAACTTTTCTGTAAACTCAAAATTATTTCAAAATTGTAAGTCAAAAATTACCCGTGCCTCACCGCCACAGCTTCTGACCTGATGGTTTTAGGATGAGCCCCAGGCATCTGTGTTAACGTTAAGTTTCCGGGTTCTCCTGGTCAGCCGGGGTTGATACCCTAAGGAGGCACTGGCTCTGCACTTGTTTTGTGCTCTCTTTAAAATGTGGAGCCCTCCAAAATTAAAATAAAGTAACAAAATAAAATAGAGCAATTCATTTAAAAAAAAAAAAAGTAAATAAATGAAATGTGGAATCCTGTAAGCCTGCATGCCCTGAGCCCCGGGCAAGATAAGTCCATCTGTTATTTGTTTACTTGGCAGTTATATGTTTTCCTTATTAAAGTATAAGCTTCCTGAGGACAAAGACCTGTCCTCGGAGTGCCCAGCACAAACTGAGCATCGAATAAATATTGGCTGAATGAGCAAGTGAATGAGTAAATGGATGAGCTGGATGGTCCAGTTCTGAGGCTTAGGTGAGCCTGCCTGCAGAATATGCTGGAAAGGGGCAGGGGTTGGGGGGGGGGGTACCTCCAAGTAAGAGTTCATCACATTGGCAGTGTTAAAGCCTCCTTAACAGTTTAACCCTTGCTAACCCTTGAGCTGACTGGCAGGCTCGTATGCGCCTCTCTGCCATGCACAACTGCTGTTTCATTTCACTTCAAAATTGGAAGACAATCAAGGCTGTAATCAGTTTAAAGGTCAGGGAAAGTGCAGCGTGCCTATTTATTTCTGTTGTTTCTTATTCTTTTGAGTTGATTTGCTGTCGGTTGACAGATTGATTTGGCTTGCTGTGTAGCTGGGAGAGCAGCCGGGCTGTGATGTGTGTCTGTCGTCCAGCCCGCGGTGCAACTGCGGAGTGAGAGCATTCCGATCTCAGCCACCTGCTGCTCAGTCCCTGGCAGCCTTTGCAGGGCTCCAGAAGGAGCTGTCCTTTCCAAACAAGGTGGGGTTCAGGAAATGCCCCAGTGGGAACTCATAGATAAATTTCCCATTTACAGTAAGACTGTGAAATGGGGGGGCGCCTGGGTGGCTCAGTGGTTTAAGCCTCTGCCTTCAGCTCAGGTCATGATCTCAGGATCCTGGGATCGAGCCCCACATCGGGCTCTCTGCTCAGCGGGGAGCCTGCTTTCCCCTCTTTCTCTGCCTGCCTCTCCGCCTACTTGTGATCTCTGTCAAATAAATAAATAAAATCTTTAAGGAAAAAAAAAAAAAGACTGTGAAATGGCCTTCAGGTGAAACAGCCTGTTCTAAATACTGT